TTCTTCCATGGTTCATGTTCCTCAGCATCATATTTCTTCTGGCTCCCTGCCTCCAGGGTATTGCTTTTAGTCATAGCTTCCATTCTTTCCTCCATTATTTGCACCTTATTCTTCAGCTGTTCATGTAACTACACTTCAATATATTTCTTGTGGTTCCCTGTCTATAATCCCCTTTAATCTGTACAGTGGAATGACCAGATTCCTCAACCTAAGCAATTTCTATCCAGGGGGTTTTGTAGGCAACTCCCTCACTAGCACTTCAGTGTGCCAGTTGTGGAAGTAAGTCTCTCATCTGATCACATTCCCCTTTCTAAAATTCTATTGTCCTCTTCGATCTGTGGATGTGCCCATGGCAGCCAGGATTCCCCAAAGGAGGCATTTTTCTCCAGGAGAAGGGCCCTTCTTCTCTAGCACCCTGAATGTGGAGGCTCTGGAATTGAGCCTCTCATCTGATTGCTTTCCCCTCTCCTAAAGTCTCCCATCCTCTTTTGCCTATAGTTTGACACAGCCAGGTTCCCCAAATTAAGCAGTTTTGTCCAGAGGGTTTTGTAGACAGCTCCTGCAGTGGCACTTCAGTGTGCCAGCTGTAGAAGTGAGTCTCTCACTGGATTACAGCCCCCCTCTTAAATTCTGTTATCCTCTCTGGTCTGTGGGATGGCTCCACATCATCCAGGATCCCCAAATAGAGGAGGGATTTTCCCAGGGGAGTTGTGGGCCCTCCTCTCTTTTTTTAAGAGTAACACATAGTTGTAATATTTATGGATGCAGACTGTCACATCTTCCTTCCACAAAAAAACTATGGGGGACTGCGGCCATCAACCATTCAGGTAGCAGGTAAATGCTTTAACCACTGTACTATTAGGGCTTCTTTCCTTTAAGTAGCACTGATATAAAACATGATAAAGATGAATAAAAACAAAAATTATTCAGTCTTCAAACTCATTCATTACCTTAACAAATATTTATCATACATCCAACTACTTGATAAATACTTGAGTAATCTTTCGAAATGTCAGTTTCTACATGACTCAGTCATAACTTAAGGATAATATTCCCCCAGGTAGATGAAAAGAGCTTACTCCTAAATTCATCTATTCAGCAAATAGTTACTGGTAACCAAGTACTACTTTGTACACCAATTCTACAGTGAAGAATAAAATAAAGTGTCCCCCTTGAGACTATTCAGCCCTCATTGAGCTTTTAGTCTAGTGGAGTAAGAAGCAGTATACAAATATGTGAAATATATTTTAGAAGGTGATAAGTGCTGTGGGGGGGGGGGGAAGAAACTGAATAGCGATAGGAACCATGACAATAAATATTCTCCCCCTCCTGTTGTCAGCCTGGATTAATCTTTTTTTAAATTTTTTATTAATGATAATTTGATAAACAGTAAATTTTATACTCTTCAATAAAGTAGCTAAGAAGCTCTAGCAGCATAGTGGTAAGAAATTGTGGTGCAAATGCAAAGTTTCATGGCTCAAATCCACTAGCAGCTCAGTGGGAGAGAGATCAGCAATCTCCTATGCCATTTTCTCCTTCTGAAAAGTCACTAGATGGTGAGCTATGGGTCAGTTTTGACTCAACAATACACAAGAACATGGATAGAGTAGTTACAGAATGCCTAGGCTTCAATGAAGAGGTAACATGTGAACCAATTATCTGAAGCAGATGACCAAGCAATCCAGGTAGTGAAGGAAAGATTGCTTTTGATACAGAAAAAGTACAAAAAAAATCATGTCTATGTGGATAGCAGGTGTTGTCCAGTCATTTCAACTCACAGTGATCCCACAGGACCAGCATAGATGAACTGTCTCCTAGGATTTTTAGAATCTGATTTCCATGGAAGCAAATGTCCAGGGTTTTGTTTTGTTTTGTTTTGTTTTACAGAGCTTCTCGGTGGCTTCACCAATCGTTAGGTTGGCAGCAGAAACCTTATCAAGTTGTGTCACTAGGGCACCTTAGGAGATGGTGAGGTAGTACTATTTTCATATTTCAGTAATATCACTTTATAATTATACTAAAATCTTCCATTAAACATTTAGTGTTATCAGGACTGAACTTATCTGAAACATTTTTTTTTAATCTCTAAGCCTAACTGTTGAATGTTGAGATGATTTGAATTGTATATTACAATGGTACAAACATGTGTATTCCTTTACCCATGTAAACTCGTTCTAGCATTTTGTTGTATCACTATAAATATACTCCAGTATGTTGTATCACTATAAAAATATATATCTATACCTATATCGATATCTATATCTGCTGTTTACCCAAGCACAAGTCTCTAGAATTATCCTTCTCACTCTCAATACTCAGTCAGCAACCAAATCTTGTCAACTTCTGTTTTCATCACTATTTTTTTAAAAACTCATAAAAGCCAACCCAACCAACCTCAAGCCCACTGTGCTGGCATCAATTCCAAGTCATAGTCATCCCATATGGCAGAGTGGAAAAATAATAGTTTCCAAGGTTGTAATCTCTATAGAAGTAGATTGGTATACCTTTCTCCTTGGTGTTTGAAACACTGATCTTTTGGTTAGCAAATGGTTAAAATGCTTTTAACCACTGTGCCACTAGGGATCCTTTTCATCATTATAGCAGGCCCAAATGATTTCTGTTGACCATTTCTTTACAAACAGCTAAGTCAAACCAAGGGGACTACTGACCTTAATTTCTGTATATACTAATTTTAAATTCTTGATTTTATATCCTAAGCAGTTTGCATGTTTTAAAAATGTAAGCCAATTAATACAAATGCTGATTCAAATTTGATATTAACTGTTTTTAAAAGAATCAAGAAACTACTCTATATCTTGAAGTAAAAAGGTTAGTACTGATGTTCAGATGTGTTGCACTGGGAAATCTGCTGTCAAGGACTTTTCCAAAATGATAAAGGGCAAGGATGTCAGTTTAAAGACCAAGGTGTGCCTGAGGTAAGCCATGACATTTCCAACTGCTTCCGATGCATCTGAACGTTGGACAATGAATAAGGAAGACCAAAGACAAACTAATGCCTTTGAATTGAGGTACTGGAGAATAGTAATGCATATGCCATGGACCACCAAAAGAATAAACATCTGTCTTGGAAGAAGTGCAACCAGAGGCAATAATAGGAAAATTCATCTCTCACACTTTGGGTATATTGTCATGAGGAGTCAGTCTTTGGAAAAACATCATGCTGGGAAATGTAGAGGGTCAGCAAGAGGGAGAGACTTGCAAGAAGATTGATTGACACAGTGACTGCAACAATATGCTTAAACAAGTTGGAGATCATGCAGATCAACAGCACAGGAATAGAGTAAGGTGCAGATTTGTTGTGCTTAGGATCTTTATGAGTCATGGTTGACTCTGTGGCACCTAATAACAATCGTACTTTCACTCACATGACATTCCAACTAAAGAGCTTGCATATTCAATTGACCTTTGTCATTGCAATAGGACATGGCATTCTTCACTCTCTGTTGAGATGGCTGCTTTTGGATGTCAACAGCTGCTAGTTCCCACACTACTAGTGAGAGGTAGCTTTTTATTTCTGAAGATGCAATTTCAAGTTAACATACAGACTGAATATATATATATACCCAGCTGCTCACCTTCTAACTACATACAGTGTGGAATCTGCCTATCAAGGTATGCTAGGTAAAGCACCACCAAGCACTATGTTGTAGAGATTTGGAATTTAAAAAACAAATAGCAGTTGATTCATATGTCCCAGAGAGCTGCTGTTTTCAAAGCTTTCAGAAATTGCAGGCAACTCCAAGTCTCTGTTAGATAGACAGAGACAATCTAACACATTTAAGTTGTCTTCATCATTACCTTTTTTTAAAAAAAGTAATAATTGTAGACAGAAGACAACAATTTCAAATTTGCAAGTATCAATTCTGCATTCTTTCCAGAAGACAATGTGACCAAAAAAACATTTTTCTCACTCATGTTTCAGGGTCGCTATGAGTCGCAGGCGACTCTACGGCACATAACAACAACAACATCATGTTTCACACTTAACACATCCTCAAACAATAACATTTTAAGCCAGTAATTAATGTTTTGGAGGGTTGGGGAGGGCAAAAAATACCATTTTGGAAGACCGTTCTTATTTTTAGGACCATGTGCAAAAAAATAAAAAGCGCAAGTTTTTATAAGGCAAATCTTGTCTTTTAATAATTAAAAAAAAAATTCCAAAACTTTTGCTTTGTTGCGTCCTCCTCCTTCTTCCCGCCCTTCAGGGAAGCAAGAGAAGGAGTTAGCAAACTGGTACTCAACACATACCCTGTATAATGTATTTATTATACACAGTAAAATAGGAGGGGTCCTGTACATCGTTTTTAATTCACTATTTGCTCTATTTGTTCACATCCTGTCCGGATTACACACAAAGCAACTCTGCTAAAACGTGGGTCAGACTCACAACCTAGCAAATTAACAGTCTCGAAAACGAAACCGAATCTAGATGCATTGAGGACACATGCTCCTCCAAAAAGGGAGATGCGGGGCGCGGGATACTCTTCTCTAGGTTGGAGATGTCCTTGGCTTTTTTCCTGTGTCTTGAGGAGAACCCCTTTGGTCCAGCATTAGGAAAGACAATGACACTCGCAGCAGTCAAGAGAAGCCAGACGCCTCTGGAACTTGGGCTGTGAACCCGTAACTATCTCTCAGGAATTTTAGAAAATAAATGGAGAGGGAGCACGCGGAGAGGCAAAGGAAATGAGATAAGAAAACTGGCTATAAAGTGGGTAAAAGACTAAGTGGGGAACCTGGTAAGAAAAGGGCCTTAGCATAGAACTTGTTGAATGGAACATGGTCCTGAGGAGGGTGATGAAGGCCGAGGGACCACAGAGAGGGGAGTCCCAGTCTCCAGCGCAGCCTCGCTGGGGCTAGAGGGACCTCAGCCCCCTGTGGCCCCACCCTGAGAAGCACTGGCTGCAGATACAGTGAAGAGAGACGCACCAGAAAAAAGGGAGGAGGCCGGCCGGAGCCAGGCGACTTTAGTCACTCACATCTGATACTCGTCTATCGCCTCCACCAGCTGGCCCCAAGAATCGAAGTCGGCGCCTCTCCTCAAGCTGGCGCCCCAGCGCTGCAGCATGCTTCTGGTCACTTCCGACATGACCAATCTCCACCCGTTCCCTCCAGCCACGATTTCCAAGGCTAGGTTCTAGGGCGTCATCCTCCCAGGGGCTAGCCCCGACACTAACAGGGTCAAGAGACAGCGCCGTGGTCACGGCTGCCAGACGCCAAGGAGCCGCCCATTTGCCGCCACAGCCAAACTTGATGGATGCAAAGCGCCCGCCCCGCGGAATCCCGCCCCCACAGCCCCACTCGGAGTTAGGTTGAGACTGCCCCACACAGCTCGCAACCACCTAGGGCGCCGTCTTCTCCGGCCGGGGCTGCCAACTCGTCCTTGCTCACTGAGGAGGAGCCTCCGCAAAAGAGGTGAAACCAGGGCTGAGAAATCAAGAAAGGGCTGGAGAACAGAGTGCTCTGTAGGGGCTGCGGAAACTCGGCAGCCTCCGTTTCACAGCTGCGAGCACTGCTGCCTCATAACTGTCATGGCTGCCGGACTCACGTGATTCAAGCTGGGTTTGCCTGGTTTCCTGTCTATTTAGTTCAGTAGCCACGGTTCTCCCAAGGCCTGCCTTTTCTCCTTTGTGAGTTCAAGAATTCTTCCTGAAGAGACTGCTGCATGGACTTTGAGAAATCTCGTAAGTATGTCATTAGTTGGTCATTTCCCTGATTTAGTCCTACCTGGTGTACCCTGGTTACCGGTATCCATAGGACTGAAACCAAGATGTTTGCTCCAGCTGTCTTGAAATGCAAATAAGAGAAAATCTACATTGACTCTGAATCAACTACATATTGACTACTAAAACTGCCAAATTTTTCGGTAGTTTAAAATCTGATTTAACAGTTGCCTACGTGGTCCTCCTGGGTTGATGGTATTAGCTTTCGACAGAAATGTCTGTTCAGTAAGTGGGGAGAGGTTCTTGTGTAGGTGCCTGCGCTGAGCTACCACCTAGGACAGTACTTGGGCATTGGGACCGGAAGTGGCTTGAAGATAAACAGGAAGTGAGCGCTCAGGTAGGTCTCTTGGTCTTTTCCGGGCATTTGGAGTAAGTACCCAAGTGACCCGTCAGACTCTTCTTGTGGAAGGGAATCCCGTATCTCGATTCTCATGTTTCTCGATGACTCTAGAAGTACCCTTGTACCTGTGTCGGATGGGCGTGTCGTTTTTGGAATTTCTAGAATTAGAGTGGTGCAGAGTCTCCCAAAGAGAAAAAGTAGACGGGGCAGAGAATGCAGTACTTAGTCCCTTGCTTTTTCATTTTAAAGTTGTACAAAAATTTTAATTTCATGTCATCTTTTGCCCACGAAGTGGGTGCTCCCTTAATAAGAACTATAAGTAAAATTTTGCTTTTATAAAATCAAATACTTACACGTATGTTTGAGTAGATAATGTATTGGTTTACTTTAGGTTGATTAGGATGATTTGTAATTTTTTTTTTAGTATAGAACTTGTATAGTTTCAATTTTGCACATGTCCATTTACTGCTTTCAGGTTGAGTTCACGTTGTGACCCTGTAGGACAGAGAAGAATACCATGGGGTTTCCAAGCCCCTTGCCACGTGTTTCTCCCACAGAAAGGCTGGCACACCATTTGGTAATGCATTCAGAGCCTTTCAACCACCTTCTCACTAGGGCCTCTTGGATACACTGCATTTTGTATACGTATCTGGTGCTCTCAAACCCATTTTTATTGTAAATAAATAAAGGATGTGCTTAAAATAGATATTTTATTAGAATGGTCATCACAGGGTATGCAATAAGTCAGTTGACATGTTTGTATAATGCTTTTAGGTTAAATAAACTCTCCAAATTTCATCTTTATTCGTTGCTGAACTCAATTACCATGTTTAGATCTGCAGTTGACCTTCCTTTATTCCTGCATTACCTATCTCAGGGACTTTTAGACAAGTGACATATTGCTCCTTTTCAATCTTAAAATGTGTCTTAGGATGGTTGGCATTTCACTTGTTAAGTGACATCAAGTCAACTATGCCTCATAGTGTCCCTATGAAGAACAGATTTGAACCTTGCTATCCTCACCATCTCTGATATGTTAATGGCCATTGTTACATTTGATGTACCTTTTCAATTAGGTAGTTTTCAGATATTTAAGATTATTGAACAGAGTGATTCAAATAGGCTTTTTAATTTATTAAAGGTGTTATTTTTATTATGAAAAATACTGATTCTTTTAGCTATTTATGAAAAATCCATTTATTATAAAATAAAAGGTATAATTAATCAATAATCATCAACAGTATAATGCAGGAAATGGAATTCATTTAAAGACTGTCTTTAACTATCTTCAGTCGTCTACTAGATGGTTGCCATTTGATCCCATTTTGGAAGTTAACATTCATCTTATCCTGTTCCCCTCTCACAACTGTTCAATCAAAATCTAGTACTTCTCAAAAATATAATCTGGAGAACACCAGCATGAACATCTTTTACAACTATGTTAAAAATGTAGAATCTCAGACCCCACTTCAGACTGTTGAATTAGAGTTTCTATTGTAGCAGGAACTCCTAGATGATTTGTATATAAAGTTTCAAAATCATTAGTAAATATTACCATTATATTTACTAGCCAGTTGCTACTGTTTTTGTTATGTGCCCTCAAGTAAAACTCTGAACCCTGCGCAATCCTGAGCCAACTTGACTGACTACAACAAACCTAGCCTCCATTATTCCAGTCACTGAGCCAATACATCTTATCGAGGATCTTCCCCTCCTGTGCTGTCCCTCCATCCACAGTGACCCTCTCCAAGGACTGGTCGGTCGGTCCCTCCTTGCAACATGCCCAAAGTATGTCAGACGGAGCTTCAGAATCCTTACCTCCAAGGAACTTCCTGGTTTCACCCTCTCCTGGATGAACTTGTTCTCCTAGCAGTCCATGGTATATTCAGTACTCCTTTCCAGCTCCACAGCTCGAAGGCATCAACTCTCCTTCTATCGTTCCATTATTATTGCGATGATTATGGTCAAATGCTTTGTGTTTATTTGGCTTCTTTTTCTTAGACTTGATCTAAGTATGAGATAGTCAGTGGCCTTCATGATGACCTCATAGGTATCTAAGACTGTGCTTTATAGCTGTTTCCCTTGATGAATTTTTAGAGTAGATTGTCCAGCCATTCTTTTGTGGCACCTTTGGATAGACATGGAAGCTGAACATTTTAACCATCTGTACACCCAGTAACTCCTGGTCTATACTAAAATCCCTTTACTGTCAAGTTCTAATTCATAATGAATTCTAAGATTTTAGGACTGTCCCTGTACAGTTTCCAAAGCTGTAACCCTAGCATAGGCAGACTGCCACATCTTTTTTCTGAGAAGCAGCACATGTGTTTGAACCACCATCCTTTCAGTTGGCAACCAAGCACTTAAGCAGGGAACTGAAGGCTTCTGATCTAAATATATACCCACTGCTGTCAAGTCGATTCGAGCTCATAATGTGACCCTCTACAAGGTTTCTGAGGCTGTAAATCTTGACAGGAAGAAACTACCTGTGTTTCTTTCTTGGAAGGACTGGTGAATTCCATCAGCCAACCTGTAGGTTAGCAGTGAAACAGATAATCAGCTACTGCCACCATGGTTCCTTAAAAAAAAGTCTTCAAACTCATGGCTGTTGAGTTGGAATCCATTCATTACTAACCCTCCAGAGGGTTTTCTAAAGTGCAAATTGCATGAAGATTGCCCAGCTTTTTCTCCCACTGAGTCACTAGTAGAAATGAACTGCCAAGAGGAAATTCACTGGAGGGTCAGCTATAGGTTGACATGGTGGTTTCCAGCTCGACAATGAGATTGAGAATTTGTGTTTTTTTTCCTAAAGAGGTTCCGTCTCACATACTTTGGGCACGTGGCCAGGAGGGACCAGTCCTTAGAGATAAACATCATGCTTGGAAGGGTGGAAGGACAGTGTAGGAGAGGAAGACCCAGGATGAGATGATTGACTAAGTGACTGGAGAAATGGGATTAAACCTGTCAAAGATGATGAGATTGGCTCAGGAAAGGGCAGGTTTCAAAACTAGTGTAGTGTACTTGGGTCGCTATGAGTTGCAGGTGACTGGCACATACCAACCACAACAGACAAAGAGCATTAGTGACAGTAGTTGGTTAACCTGTTTCACCACTAACCTAAAGATTGGCCTGTAGCATACCAAAGCAATTTCATATAGACTACACCAGCAGAGCTTCCTTACATATTATTGTTGTTCTATGCCCTTTAGTTTGAACTGACTCATTGCTCAACTTCCAGTAGGTTTTCCAAGACAATAAGTTTCAGGAGGCAATTGCTCATTTTTCTCTTACAGCTGGTAGATGTGAACTGCTTGGATTTGGACTAGCAGTGCAACTCCTTACCACTAAGCCACCAGAGTTCCGTCCTTTACATTTTGTTGTTGTTATTTATTGCTGTTGGGTCAAACACGACTTATAGCAACCCTATGTACAAAAGACCTGAAACCTTTCTATAACTTTTTCATCATTTCTTAAAGTTCATAGAGTTTCCAGTGGTATGTTGTTTAGGAAGTGGATGCCACTCCTGCTTTCAAAATAGAGCACCCAAAATATAGATTAAATGGGCAACTAATAAAAAGAAAATTTTCTTGTGACATTGAAGTATTTTAGTTATAACTGAAGTATTAGACATTTGATACTGTATATGCACACATAATATTACACACAGAAATGCATATATAAAAACAATTTGTTTTTTGCCCTAAGTAAATATTTTTGTATTGTTCATCCTTCATTAAATATTTTAACTTTTGTCTTTTTCTTTTGTGTATAGAAGACATTTAAGGAAAATGACTCATTGGTTTCATAGGAACCCATTAAAAGCCACAGCTCCTGTATCTTTTAACTACTATGGTGTAGTCATGGGTCCTGCTGCTTCAAAAGCTTGCAGGTAAGTGTCATTCTCAAATATTGATTGAATCAGGGTCTTCTAGGCAGTGTAGAAATACGTTACACACTGTATCTAGCCTTAGATTTTTTTTTTAAGAATTTATAAATGATATATAGCTAGAATCTATATTCTTTAAACCTTAGTAGTCATGTAAGCCAAGGTTTTTATGTTCATATCATTAAACTGAATCTCAAACTAAAGCAATTACAATAAGAGTTAAGTATATTACAGCAGTATATGAGATGTCACAAAGTAATACATGCATACTGTTATTTGGCCCAGTAGGAAATTCATAGAGTTCAGAGCTAAGAGGTCCTTGTAACCTTGAATGACTTTGAGTGTGTCCATATAGGAAGAAGAACTTGAACTGATGTTTAATTAAATTGTATGACTTTGATGAGAGCTTGACAAACTTACCCCATAGATTTGGTCCACTCACTGTATTAATAAACAGGCGACTTCCTTAATTTACATGATCTCTGTAATTGCCTTTTGTTGCTTTCCACTGGAATAGCAAAGTTGAGTAGTATCATGATAGCTGTTGTTTCCTGTTTAGTCTTTTTTACTATCTAGCCCTTTATAGATCTTGTTTTAGATTGTATGAAGAAAAAAATCCTTACGTCCTTTGTTCTAAAGATGGTAGGTAGAAGATTTGGCCAGAGCCAAGAAGATTTTTATTCTGAGAAGTTGAAATAAGTTCATTCTAGTTGAGAGACAGAACCTAGATGATCAGAAAATTGGTAGCACCAAAGGAAAATCAGAAGAGTTTCTACCTTTTGAGGAAAGAAGTGGTTGGTGGAAAAAAAGGGGGAAACTGCTGTTTTAATGAGCTAGAGAAGAAATATTTTGGACTTCATGAACTATGTAGTCTGTAGACAGTTCTTTTCCTTTATTTTACAACTCTTTAAACCATTTTAGTTTGAAGGCAGTACAAAGGTTATGGGTCATATAAAAGCCAGCTGCAGAGTATAGGTTAAGTGGGCTTGATCTAGATTCCTGGAAGCCAGTCCCGGTCTAGCTGCAATCTGTAACATGGAACAAGCTCCTTCTTCGACCCTAGTTATTCATCTATAAACTGAATGACATGAATTACACTTTCAAGGTACATTTTTCCCTGTTCAAAACTTTTGCATTCTAGTCACCCATTATTATTAATGCATCTTCATTGATTTCTGGCTGCAAAAGTTGGTTGAAAGCATCTATTTCCTCCTCTTTGGCTCTGTTTTTAGTGCATATATTTGAATGATAGAGGTCTTCCCTGGACTTTTCTGTATGTGTATGAATATTATCCTGTCACTCAAAACCTTGTATTTCAAGATGTATCAAGAAAAGACTTTTTGATTTTGAAAGCAACCCCATTTTTCCTCAACTTTTCATCTTCAGTGTAGTAGATCATGTGATCATCTGATTCAAAAGATTCCATGCCAACCCATCTCATTTCTCCAATACTTAGTATGTCAATATTAATACTTTCCATTTCTTTCTTAACAATGTCCAATTTTCCTACATTCATGCTTCTCGCATTCCACATTGCCATCACAAATTGTGCTTACAACTGTTCCTCCTCCTTTGCATTTCCAAATTTGAGAGCTGAGCCTCAATTATGATATCTGCTAGTCTACTTGAAGTGTGCTCTATTGTAGATACGGTTTTTGAAGCCTGCTATTTTAGAAATGGATGGCCAGTCCTTCTTCTTAGTCTGTCTTGATTGGAATGCTGAGCTTGAGAACAGTATCTGACAGACAAGCATTTTACAGAAAGCAGATGAAAGACATTTGCCCATTATAGAAGCAAGCAATAGGCTTAGTGTCATGTACCTTCCTTCCACTATTGGCACATGTGTTTTGACCCATCCTTTTCCCAGCTACTCGACCAGCATTCTCTTCCACTCCTACCTTTTCCATTCAATACCTCCATCCCTCTAGCCAACCCTTGATATGATGCTCAGGTCTCAGTTCAAGTCTGTCATGCCTAAAGCTTTGTGCTGCTGCTGTCTCATGCTGTTGCCAGTCTCTTAAGTTTAGGAGGCTCTATGTGCAAATCCCATGTACCAGATTTACGGAAGGATTGCTATCTAAGAGAGTTCTAAGGAAAAGTGTTTACCCCTGAGCTTCTGCACTGACTTCTTGTGACTTAGTGCCTTTTCTCTTTCTTTTGCAGCATGATGCTGTCAAACTAGGATGATTTCTCAGGGGAGGGTAATGACTCCTTTACATTTTGTATGCCAGTGTTGTTTCTAAAACTAGTGATACAGAATCAGTAGTCAGAAAACATACTGGAAATAGAAAGGAGGAGGAACAGTTGTAAGCAGACCCTAGTGATTGGAACATGGAATGTGAGAGCCATGAATGTAGGAAAATTAGAAATTGTTAAGAAAGAAATGG